TCTGCGGCAGCCCCGCCACCGAGGCCGAGCAATCCAAGCGACGGCGGTCTCAGCTGGCTGATAGGATCTCGAACAAGCTGCACGCCCTGTTCTGGGTGGGGGTGGGGGTGGCAGTGGTGTACCGCACGGACTTCATCCGAGTGCTGGTGGAAGATGAGCGGGTCGATCGGTGAGAAACGTGCCAAGAAAACTGCTGCTATTTTGAGCCGGTGCTGTGTACCAAAGAAAATTCTTTCGCGTGCACGCGATCTGTGCATGTTGTCGCGACGTACATATACGACCTGGTATCTCTGTCCCGTTGGGCTTCATTTCGCAGCAAATGTGGTTCTAATCTTGGGAATTGCACGCTGCTATGCATAAGATGGATGACATCGACCTCCCCCCCATCAATCTCTCCGGCGCCCGCTGTGTGATTGATTGTCCCGCAGGTTATGGTTCAATATCGGGTTGGTGTGCTTCAGTGTTAATGCGGTAATTTTGGCGTACTTGACGGTGTGGCTACCGCACGTGAGAGGCATCCGGGTGTCGTGGAACGTGTACAGCCCAAGAGCCATCCCTACGGCGACTGTTGTCGGGCTAATCTGCGCCTTGGCGTGAGTGTCTTCGCCACATACATACGACCCCATTGCGTCAAATTTGAGCCTTTCCCTTGTTACCTGAAGAAGGCTCAAGCACGATCGCGAGATGAACCTAGAACCATTGCTAGTGTCATCTTCTTTGCAAATTTCTTACCGTAAGACGAAGCTGTGTATCTCCTCGCGCATTCATTGTTGTGTATTCGGTGTCCGTTCGATATAACAACGGAGGGAGTCGGATAAAGAAGGCACCACGACAGCGTTTGTGTTCGTGTTCTTGGTGCCAGCGATCGTGACTGCACCCTCTCATCCCATCGACTTCATTGCGCACATCTAGCCCGAAATAATCCTCTTGATTTTGCTTCATGCCTAACTGTTCGACGTGCCTGTAAGGCGCACCTGCGAGTTGTTACCTCGCCCTCGTCCAATGGCAGTATTCCCCATCGACACAAGGTCGGTACAAAGCTCTGTTCGCCCGTTTGTACTCCTGCCTGCTTCCTTCGCTCAGGCTGAATATGTCACTGTGGAATGTGTGGGGATTCCTGACGCCCCTCATCCTCTTCGCGGTCTTCATCGGATGCTTGTTTAGCCTGCACTTCGTGCCTTGGCCTTGTTAAGACACAAGACAAGTGCGGCTGGCCCGGGGGTCGGGATCATGTACAGTTGTTTCCGCGCTTAGCCACAGGGATACAGGTGCCGGAGGGAGGGAGCAAAAGCTGGGGCGGGGTTACGCCCCAACAGGCTTGAGGCACATGTATAGTTCTCAGGAGCGCCCCTCAAATGTGATTTATGAGACGTTGTATACATGTAGTTTGTTTTTTTTTGTCCGGCAACCCGAAACAAAAGCCACTCTGTCCAACCACAACATACCGGTAACAAATTGTCAGAGCACACCACGTTGCCCTGAATGGCTGGCACACACCATTTAATTTGTACTTTGCTTTCTTTCGAACCCAATGCAAACCCACACCAATGATCGTGTCGCAGCCCTGCCACTGGAAGAGTCGCGTGTCAGATCGCCACGCCACACTTTGTAGTGAGTGAATGAAAGACATCATATGACCGTGTCCAAGTGATAGCTCTGGCAGGGGGAGGGACTACCACCTCCCCCCTCAGCCGCATTTGGGCCAGAGTCCCTCTGTGAATGTACGGGAGAAGGCGGTAATGGAACGTTGCTCCAGCGCGAACGCCATGCTCTCTCGATTTCCAACCTTTCTGCAGCAAGAGCTGCCTCCAGGACTAGAGCCCGGAATCCAGCTTCCCCCGTACCGAAGCGAGGCACGTGGTTTGGGATTGGGGAATTTACACACCCCCGGCGGCGGCAGGAAGACCATCGAAGAACGTGCAGACAACAATGCTTGGAGAACCTTGTTGACGAATCTCGAGGGCCAGGTGTTCGGGGACAGGTCATGACCGGCGATTGCGGCAGCGGGAAAACAAGAATCTTCAAACAACAAAAAAACATTGCCGTCATGCACAGCCTCAGCTCCAAACACCAATGTAGAAATCCCCTTCATGAAAGGGTAAAATCTCCTAACGCCTGCCAGGGACGATTCGCTGTTTTCAGACCAAGCAGAGCTGCTTTCTCCTACGGGCCACATCAACATCTCCGAGGGCGTACATGCTTCGCACGCTAACCTCTTTTGAGGATCTCGAAAATCTAGTGCGCCCAAAGGGACAAGGTTGCGATCCCTGTACAGCAGTACCAGGTAGTTGCACACAGGTTGTGATTTTTTGCAGTGGTGTAGCCCCTTTGTGGTCTTGGGCACACTCTTTTCTATTTCGAAGGTTAAGAAGTAGGACACTCCCCCCAGCTCTAGACAGACCACAGGAAAAGCAGACTCCGTGTGCCGTCACACAGACGGCCAGCGAGACATGTATCAGAACGCTCTAAGAAACAGAGGGAGGAACTTTGCTCTACGCACCATCACAAAAAAGGAGACAACCATGCACAGTTCCACCCCCTTCTACCCATCACACAACTAAATTCCGCTACTGTACCCGTGAATAGTATACACCCGTCGCAACGAAACACATACACACGAAGGCGCACAGCACACGCCACCTAACATCCTGCGGTACCGGTGATGTGGATGATCCTCTCCGACAGACGCGAAAGTGTGACTTGACATCAGCAACAACAACAACCATCCGCCAGGGGTTGGGATAGGCACCCACTGCTGTTTTACATGAGCTCAACACTTACCCGGGAAAAGGGGGTACTGGCCATAATGAGTGGTCGCTGCTTGACCACGCCTTTTCGTAGGGCACCTACCCCTGAGTCGAAACAGGGCTTTGCTGCGTGCTCTCTTGCTCGAGTACCACTATCCCGACCACCTCACAAGCGTCCTGAGAGTGAGACCTTGGCTGCCCATTTTACTCTCGCTTCCTTCCCAGCCGGTTCATCCCGCCCCTATCCGGCCCACCTCAAGGGCCGAAGGTGGAGAAGGATTATTAATGGACACAACAACTCGTCGATACCCGTTGTTGTTCTTGGTGACTCCAGCTACATATGGAATGTAGTCTTCCATGACTGCGAGGATGAACTCTTCGAAGATACAATCGAAGAGCCCCAAACGGTCCGACACTCCGGGTGGATTAGGTCTTATTATGGACCTCTGGGGAACCCTTTGCCAGCTGAGGCCCTTAAACCGCCCTCAAAAGCATCAACAAAACGCGCTTTGACGTACGACCGCACGCACGAGTACTGAACGTCTGGTCAAGCAGCTTCAAGGGCCAACGAATACTGTAATCAGTAATAGCGCCGCCCACCGCCGTACATATCCCTCGCGCAATTCTCACCGACAACATCCCCCCAGGGTGGCGTTACCGCTCGCGTCACTACTTCTGCCTGCACTCCATCTTGTGCGTTTTCCAGTGAGCCTTCTGGCACTCGCCGGAGCAGTACATCGCCACCTGGCAGCGGGAGCAGACCTTGAACTTGGCGCCGCCGCTCGCGTTCCCCTGCCGCTTCCCGCAAGCCGGCCTAGCGCACATGATGTTGGCCGCCCTCGCCGCCTCCTTGTTTTTGATCTTCTGAACAGTGCGGCCGGCCATCCTCCGGTTGAGCTCCTGCTGCCCGCCCAGCCCCAGAAGCTGCGCCAGCTGCGCGCCGAACCCGGGGGCGAACGTCCCGTCGGTCTCGCACTGCCGCGCCGCGGCCACGGCCTGAGCCCTCAGCCGCACGGGTGTCAGCCTCGTGAACGCACCCAGAAGGTCGGCGTGGGCGAGGGAGTTCACCAGGAGGTTGTTGATGGTCACGGGGGCGGCCGCCGTGGCGCCGCCGCCCGAGAGGTCGGTCGGGGAGGCGTTGGCCGCCATGGCAAGGCTGCGCGCGACCCACTCCCGGCGCTCCGCGAGCAGGCGCAGGAAAGCCTCCGCCAGGCGCTGGCGCGCGGCTCTGGAGGCCTTGTCGGCCTCTGCGTCGACGACAGCGCCGGCGCCGGCGGTGGCGCCTTCCTTCTTCGAGGCTGTGTCTGGTGGTGGTGTTGCCGTTTCCCCTCCCTGCTCTCCTGCTGGCGGTGTTGCTTTTGATGCTGCACTGGCCTGCTGCTGCTGCTTTTGCTGCTGCTCCAGCTCCTGCCTGGCTCGCTGCTGCTGCTGGAAGTTGGTCAGGAGAGGCGTGGCCAGGCCGAATAGCATTGCGGGCAGCACGTCTTCGTCCCCGCCGCCCTCGAAGACAGCGTGGGACTCGAGGGCCGACGTGATGGCGGACAGGGCGTCGAGCTCCTGCCACACCTTGATCGTGTCTTCTCCCAGTCCTCCGCACGACACCAGAAGGCTGGTGAGCGTCGCGGAGCAGGTGAGGGTGGGGGGGGAGGGGGGCCGGGGAGAGTTCACAAATGATTAGAATTGTTCTTCGTTCTTTTTGCATACTCTCGTGCCCAAACGAGGGCACCTCGCCAATCAAGCACAATCATGCCGAAAGACATGTGAAGCACAAAGGTGCTTCTGTCGTTGTGTTCCCCCGGGCAAACTGGCCTCCGTTTTCTGCACATTTCTCGTGCTGCACCCACGACACCTCGGCGGAAGCCTTTTCAGCAGCATTGGAAAGGCTTGCAGTTCCTGCCATCTCGAAGGGGGACAGATACGTCCACTGTGGCCATCGCGCGGACGAATACTGCAAAAGGTCGAAAGGTATTAGACGTTTGCGACGTGGACACTGATGACGCCGTCAAAGTGCTATGGCCTTGTGTCTCTCATGCGTTGAGACACTTTGCTCACGGCTGCGCCAGCTCCGGGTTCATGCGTGCAAGCATCTAATCATCGTCGGCTTTGAGGCAGCTTCCACGTTTCGTTAAGTCAGCCCAGTAAACCCCAGTGCCAAATTACCATGCTTCTGAAGAGAGATTCATTGGTCCACCTACTCATTGGCTGCAGCAGAGCAGTACAGCTGTCTCTGAGAAGCAGCAACTTTTGGCGCAACAGACTCACTGACCTGTTGAGACAGATCGCTGACCCCACGCTTGGGTTGATCTGCAGGTCGTCTTCCCCGACGGAACCCTCGGGGCTGATCTGGTGCGCTGTCGGCGAGGCCAGGGCCTTCAGGAGCGCCTGCAGCACGTCTCGGCGCTCGGTGATGGCGACGTGTGCCTGCTGGAGCGAGGCGACGCCGCACAGCACCATCAGGCAAGAGTGCTGAAGCGCGGGGTGGCCCTCGCTGGCGACAAGCGCGTTCAGCAGATCGTTCAAGCGGGAGCCTTCCACGAGCTGGGTGAACCCCTCGAGCATCTGCTCCCGGGGCACGCCGCAGAGCGAGGCAACGGCAGCATCCGCGGCTTGGAAGGCCTTCGCCGCCTTGTCGTCAGGGTATAGCCCTCCGGCCGGGGGAGGCGGTATCTCGTCTCGGAGCTTTACGATTTCCGCCCACACGGCTTTCGCGACATCGTTCGACTTCACGACCGCCTCCGCACTCCCGTTTTCGGCCGTCATGTGTGCTTTCGTATACGTAGGCCGCTGGGGGGGGG